TGGTTCTCTCCCACAGTTTAAATCCCAACTCAAAACTCATCTGTTCAAATCTGCATATTCACTGTGAATCCACTGTTTGTTAATTTTATCTTGTGCTTTTGTTTTATTGTTCTTCTTCTGCCATTGTTTTACTAAGTGTTTTATCCTATTGTAGTGTCCTTGGGTGGCATGAAAGGAGCTCATAAATAAAATATTATTATTATTATTATTATAATACAAAACACATATACAACAAATGGCAATAAAAAACTGCTTGTTGAAAACTAGTTTCTGCACTTATAGAGCACTGCTAAGACAACTTGCATATGTGGGACCAGCCCCACCCAACCCCTGTTATGATCTCTTTTAATCTCAGTTAGCTCTCAGTATATTTTTAAACAGCTGTTTGCCGTTCGAGGTGTAGCTCTCCAGTCTGTGACGAGTTACCCTCAAGCACAGGGGTGTCAAACATGCAGCCGGGGGCCAGAATCTTCCCGGCAAAGAGACTTTTTCTGTAATTTGGGTTTTCTGTAATAATAATAAGTTTACACATTTATTCATCCATATTATGGAGCAATTGTGACCACACAGTTTACTCTGGAATCATCTCCCTCTTCAGATTAGGTCATCTTCTTCACTAACATGTTCAAACCCAACTGAACATGTGCGTTCTTCATTGGCATTAACTTACAGTGTCATTTTCCCCCAGTGCATCTCTTTTACTTTTATGCGTCAAACTCATCAAAGAATATATATTTAACATTCAGAGATTTTTTTACTGCTGTTGAATATCAAAATATGTCAGATATGACCCGAACAGTATGCAAGGACAGAACATAGGAATGAAAAATCTTGATACTAAGACATAACATGTTCTAAAGGCAGACACAATATCACAGAGATGCAAAGCAGAGAAACTTATTTAGACACTGTCACATACCTTGTCCTGGCTTGATCATCAGTTTTTGTGGTGCATTTGCTAAAAGCCTGCATTCATAAAAAAGTAAGTGGAGAATTTCATGAATTCATGTATTGTAGCTAAACTTACATCTTCTGAACTTACAATAGTAGAGTCTGGTGTTTATGGAGAAAACTGGTAACAGAATATTCAGCTTAGTTTAACCTTGACTTGGAATCTCTTAAGATGTTTGTGTTTTCAGCAGTCGGCTAACTACCAAACTAACCTCCATACAGCTACAGCACAATATATAAAATGCTTGTAGGCGTATTGAGACTGTTAGGAAAAGGTGTCTACCCACAACTGAAAACTGGCGTTGAACATTGTAAGGCATGATTCATAATGAAACACATATCTCGTGTGATACATGAAAAACTGAGAGCAGAAAGGTCAGTCCAGTGAAAAAAAGGTTTCTTTTACCGTCACTCCTTTAACTAAAACTTTAGGTTGTGTTTTCCTCCTTAACCACTGATATCATTCAGCCACTGTTGAAGCTTTTATTTAGATGTTTTAGGCTCATTTTCCATGAGACACAACTGGTAAAACAGATTTAAAGAAAAAAAGGGGAAAAAAGGAGATGACAAAATAGGTCAAGGTCACCAAGAAACGCTAAGCTGGTGTGGAAAGAAAACAGGAGGAAAGCAAGAAGGTGGGGAGGGAAATGAAGCCTAGTGCTCTGCAGGCTGTGATCAATAGAGATTGTAAGCCTCACAACCTCACTAAACCACTGCGACAAAGACTACGGAGAAAGCAGAATGTACGTGTGTGTCCGTTTTAGTGTAGAGACTGCCTTTTCATTGATTGAAAGCAGAGATTTGTGGTCAGACTGGTTCATGCCAGTTCACTGGACTCGCGTACTAAAAGGGAGGCAGTGGGTCCCAGCACCCGCTCAGCACCCTCGCTGATCCCATCAAATATTTATGCTCACACTCTGCTGGAATGGCTGAAATACAATTAGATTAGTCTGTGTGTCTCGGTGTGTGCACTTTTAGAGTTTGCAGCAGAGCAGCTAGGTGTGAGAGGCAACTAGTGTGTGAAGAATAGTGAAAGAAATAATTATGCTGCCTTCTAAACAAGAAAGCTGCAAAAATCTACAAATTTTTCGACAAAAAAACAAGACCATGTGAAAGGCTTGTAAACCTTTTTTAGGGCATTATTTTGGGAGTGCATCACATTTATTATTTGGGTTTTGTGCTTTTTTCAGTCCAAATGGTAGCCACAGCAAAATGGACTTTCGGTACAGTGCAGTTTTCTAATGGTGCAGTTTGCAATTGTTCCAGCACACACTGCACACCGAGTACCAACGTGCAGACAGACAAATCTAATGATTAAATAGTAAC